TTCTATTCTATTCTATTCTATTCTATTCTATTCTATTCTATTCTATTCTATTCTATTCTATTCTATTCTATTCTATTCTATTCTATTCTATTCATCGATGGTTCAAACTTCTTCCTAGGATGGAGGTATCATAAATCCTATTGGTGTGTTCTGATTTGTAGGATAGAAGGATGCTTACGTCTAATGGAGAGCCTACTTTCAGAAGTCATCACTTTCAGTTTAAGGTGGCTAAATAGAGTAACTCTAGAACTTGGTAAACTTGAATCTTGGGAAAATAGGCTGCATTTAAGAGCAGATGACAAACAGAATCACCATTCTCTTGAAATTATCTAATGAAGATTGGGAGAAAGATATATATCAGATAAAATGAATTTATATTCATTTTCTTTAATACCTCCAGGAGAATTGTGATCATTCTGAGTTGGATGGCAATATAAAAAAGCCCACAGAGGAAGCTCCAAACTACAGCAGTTATATGGATACTGTGGAGTTTCCAGTGCTGATTTGGGCTAGGAAACAAGCTCATCTATGGGTACTGGTATTTTCCAGTTTGTTAGTTCTGTAGCTTCTGGTACTAATATTGCTTTACTATTTTTTTTTCCTTCTTCAGCAGAGAGATGTGACTTTACTCCTGTCCTTCATTTCTACCAGAAAGTCCATTTTTCCCAAAGAGACAATACCTTTTGAAAGAATTCTAAGTTAAATTGATTCTGGGTATAAAGTTCATAAATGTTTGAGCCATGTTTGGCAACTACATTTCCAAAGAATTCTAGAGTTTAATACAGCATCAGCAATAATGCTAAAAGTGTAGTTAATTTTTAGTGGATTACGTGCAGCCTCCCTGAATCCAACTTGGGATCCTGAACTTTGTTTTCTAACATCACCACCACCACCAACAAAAATAGGTACTTACTCCTGAATGTAAGATAATTTACACTAAATTCTGAAATTCTTGTATATTTTCTCAATTAGGATTGGATCCTGATTTGCTATATCTTGGTTGCTACTGCATTTTCTGGACAAAAGTTCTGCAGCCAGATTGTAGTATCAGGGAGGTACTTCATTTTGGAGAGACAACAAGGATCAGAGAATCATAATCAGATTCTTCCAAGGAATTAACAAAAGGAATGCAGTGCCAGCAATAATTATTGTTGTTTTGGAGATAATTTCCTTTTGATAAGAAGCTGGATATTCAGAACTAGCAGAGTTAAATTTTCAAAAGAAACCATTATCTTTGTTTAGATACTGCAGGAGAGCTGTGTTGGTCTATGGAGGCCAAAAACCAAGAGAAGCTTGTTAGCAGCTTTTCAGAATAACAAATTTTATTAAAAGTTTATTATATGTTTTCCTGAGGTACAGCTGCATTTGAATCAGCTGTACCTCAGGAAACATTATGCCTCTTTTAATAAAAATTGTTGGTCTGAAAAACAGACTCCTTCTGTGTTTAGATTTATTATTTTCAAAAATCTCTTCTGGCCCAAAACCCCTTATGCTAAATAATTAAAAAAAAAAAAACACTGATGGCTATAAATGTTACTATTTTTTAATTTCTAAAGCACAAAACATCACTGATTTTCCAGCAAGATGCAAACCAGCATGGGCAATCAACTTTCTGAATATTTCCAATGGGAGAGTCTCAGTGGTTTCCTTTAATAATCTTGATCTTTTGCTTTTTTAAGGCAGACATCTTGTTTTCCCATTAGTGTGATTAGAAGTTGAATTTAAAACATTATTTTCTGGCTACAAGCTGGGCCACAAAGCAGAACTGAGGCATTTGAAGAAAAAAGGTAGTGAAAATAGTATTAAATCACATTATTCTAGTGAGTTACTCAATGATAAATGCCATCTCCTGCCCTCAAGTGGGAGAAAGCTTATTTATCTAATATTCTATCTCATGAAGCAAGCTTTTTACCTTTCCCAATAATTAATCCAGTTTTTCCAGTGGGAACAATAAAATTAAATTCTTGCAGTCCACCAGGTGGTCCCATATTCCAATTGCCCTGACCTCTTCCTCTACCACGGCCGCCAGGCCCTGGACCTCCAGGATTGCCAGCCTAAATTATAAAAAGAATTGTAATTAGCAATACTGAAAAATTATTGTATTCTGCAGAAACATTATTCCCATTTTGCCTTCATAACAAATACAATTGCCTCAAAACAACAACAAAGAGAGGGACAGATTAGACTTTTGTAAAAGTCACAGTATTTTACTTCACGTTTTCTTCAGAAAAACGCCCCCCCCCAATATAAGCTGGCAATTCCATTTCAACTGAGCAAACGCTTTTCCAAATACAATAATAAACATCTTGATTTCTATCTGCTAGCTTACTATATGGACCTGGACTAACACTGTAGTGATATAAGTTCAAGCCCTCACTCGACCATGAATCTCACTTGTTAATTCTGGAATCATCAACTCGTTAGCTTAATCTACAGTAGAAGGCTTGTGCTGTGAGGATCAAATACAGTTCACCAGCCTAAGATCCCAGAGAAAATGTGAAATACATATGAAATAAATCATTCCAAGCCATTATTGCTTGTAAGATTTCTAGAACCTCCCTCCTAGGAGGGTGGGATCTTGAGAGATTAAGTGAAAACACCAATGCTGTGCATGAATTGGCAATCTCACATGATTTCAGCCATTAAAAAAAATAATTTGGGGTGCATATAAAAACACTTGGGAATGTCACATATACCTTGGCACATGCAGGCACTGCACCACTGATTATTGATGTGAGGAGCATTCAGCACCACACTTTCAACTGAAAATCATGTCCATCAATCTCCAAGTAGCTTTCTTCTTTTAGGAAATTGGTTGTTTCAAAAATCTTACATGGACAGCTAATAATCAGTGCTATGCTGGTCAAGGCATTACTGCTAAATAAGACTCACTACTGGAAGCTCAGAACCAGTAAAATACAAATTTACCAAGTAACAATCAAATGTTATAAAGCTGAACCAAATTTTAGCTGATCCTAACATGTATTTGGTGCCTTAGGCGAATAAAAATCATGGTAAGGCAATAAGCTTTTACAGATTTGGTTATTTATTTTCTTTAGAGTAAAATAATAATCATAATTATGAAGCAGGTAACATGATAAAATTATTCATAATTCTATACAACAGGAATCCCACAAATCTAAATGTTCCATTTTGAGTGTGAAAGATGTACAAGTCACAAAAACTTTACAATTATAAACCGCAGGCATCTCAATTACTTTTAACATAAAAATACATATGCATATTTCTTCCTAGTAAAGGTTAACAAAAAACAAAGAACAGTATTTTATAAGAACAATTAAAAACTTGCCCAAAGTATTAACCAACCTGAACACTTCGAAGAAGATCTGTAATAATTTCAGCTGCATGTTGACATCTATCTGGAGGTCCCGTGATCTGGGCTATTCTGTCAGGAGTTGTTCCATCATCTAGAAGAGCAATAAGGTATTTTTACATTTTTAAATATTATAGGTAAAACATACAATTGTATATTTGCCCATGGAGGAACCCTACCTGGTTTAAACTGAATCCTTACACCAGCATCATTTTGTATCTTTTTTATCATTTCACCATTTCTTCCAATTACAATACCAACTGCAAACCGTGGTATTGGCACCTTAAGAAACACAATGTATTTTAACATGTTGAACAAGCATTTCAAAGCAAATCAATTTAATACATAACTCTAGAAAATGCTAATCATTATATACTTCAACTCAACAAAAAAGGATTGAGCAAGAACATTCAAGGAAGGAATTGGATGGTCTGCAGTACTTTTAAGCATTTTAAAGCCAATTTTATCATTAATATTTAACAGGGAGTAAAGCATCCTAATCAGGATGTTCTAAATTAGCGAAAGGAGTCTGCAACTACGATGTTTGTCGAGACATAAAGATGAACACAGGCTCTAAAGTACAAATTTACCTAAAATATTAATCATACTCACATCTAATCCTTCATTGCCTCCTATTCTTGACCCATATTCATTGCGCACCTCTCTAAAGCCACCTTGATCACGAATTAAGTCTAAAACCATTTCCTTGGCTTGCTGAAAGAAAAACAAGTATGGGTAAGATGCAATGATCCTACAATAATTTCTGTTAGAATAACATATAATTTAAATTTTTAAACTTGTTCTTACTTGGACTTTGTAAGGATCTCCTGTGATCCTAAGAGGTTTATCTGCTCCAGTGTTCTGTGGTCCATCTTGAATCATTACCATCTTAACACCTGCACGCTCCTATTTAACAAAATTAATGCATACAGATCATAGAAATGTTAAAAGTTCATGCGTAATTTTAGAAAATAACATCTGTCAACTTACTTGAAGTTGTTTTATTGTCTCTCCACCCTTTCCAATAACTAATCCTGCTTTGCTAGCTGGAATCATGATTTCCTGAACGGCATTTCCTGGGCCATCACCATGATGGAATCCCGGTGTAGGTCTTCCCTTTTCAACAATCTGGTCAAGCAATCTCTTTGCAGATCTTGAAAAAGATAAGAGTGATTGCAATTAAAAAATATAAGAAAAATAACATAATTAGCAAGAGATAGCATGTTCAGGCTGATTGCTAACTAAAAATCATGAAATAATTACTTTATAAACACACTGGAAATGATAGTGTGTTATCTGCAGCAATATTAAGTGGGCAAAGTAGAGAAAATGAGAATGCATGTGATCTCTTCGTACTACTAGCAGCCACACTAAACCAACCATACTTCACTTGCTGTGTGCCAGGTTTGAGAAAAAAAAGGTAATTGAATTCTAACCAAAAATATTTTGGGTCATCATGAATGTACAAACATTACTAAAAAATTATTCAACAAATCATTCTGAATATTTGCTAAAACTGAACATATTGTGTGCGTGTTCCATGTTCTCCTCAAAATAAGAGCATCCATCCACTGTTAAAACAGTTTCTGTTTGAACTAAACTCTTTTAATAAATGTACAGTGCCATATAAATGGAATAGAGCATGATATATACTATCTTTTAAAATGCACTTACCCTGTTTAGTCAGGATAAATCCAATCTAAAGATTTTTTTCAGGCAAACGTGAGAGCTTTTTTAGCATTTCCCCCAACGTTCCCCAAATAATTTCTCAAAGTATTCTGAGAGCAATTAAGAGGGAGAATAACTGAAAAATGCCTCCTCCTTACTGCACTGATGAAAGCCTTCTGCTGGTAAAGGGGGGCTAGTTCACTTGCTTCCTGAATATGTGTGAAAATTGCACCATGAAAAAGTAACAAATCAAAGTGCCAATATTGGCTAGCTCTTACTAGTGTAGAGAAATTATAGCTAATCAAATCCATATGAAAATGATATCAAAATAATTTGAGAAAATCAAAGAATTATTTGGCACAACTGCCATACTATAATGTTTTAATCAAAAGTGTTCTGAGGTTGAATGACCTCCTTCAAACAGTTCTATTTCCAGCTCTGCATACTTTTGGATTGATGGACTAAGCATCAGAAAACTTCTGGTAAAATTGGAAAAAAGCATTATAAACATGGAATTGTATGCTCAAAATGTGTTATACATCTCTAGGAATTGGCCTCAGTAGAACTACTGAACCTTCCAAATACACTGGAAGAGCAAATGTTTTCCAGTGACTAGATAAAGATTCAATAGAAAAATCAGAAAATTTTGCACTGTAGATTGTTCATATTTCAAAGGCAGAGTTAGACATATTTTGCTGTATGATAGCATACAGTCTGGGACACTTAAAAAAGAGGCAGGATTCTCAATAAGAATACAGGTAGTCTCCAGTTTACGAATGAGTTCCATTCTCGTCTGCCCTTAAGTCGAATTTGTATGTAAGCCGGAACAGTATTATTCCGGTGGCCTTCAGGGGCATTGCTCCCCAGGTTTCTGGCTGTGAGACACTGTTCTTTCGGTTGGGTTCCCGTGAACAGTTGGGAGTTCTACTACTGTACCAGCCTCCCTGCTGCGTGGCAGCCTCCCTGCCTGAGCTGCTGGAGGCTGTCTCGGGGCTGGTGGTGGAGCTGCTGGAGGCCGTCTCGGGGCTGGTGGTGGAGTTCCCCAGGCTTATGGTTCTGGGGGACTTCAATCTGCCATCCCTGGGATGGTCCTCAGAGGTGGCTCAGGAGTTCATGGCTACCATGGCAGCCATGGGCCTGTCTCAAATTGTGTGGGACCCAACCCAAGACAGCAGTCACATGCCAGATTTGGTCCTCTTGTCAGAGCAATGGCAAAGTGATCTGAGGATGGATTTACAACTTTCCCCATTATCATGGTCAGTTCACGTCCTGGTGACCCTGAGTTCCTCCTACGCCACCCCTCTCCACAGGGAGGCAGGACCCATGCGACTGGTCCGCCCCCAGTGCCTGATAGATCCGTCAGGGTTTCAGAGGGAGCTGGGGGGTATTCCCATGGATCTGCTGCATGGTCCAGTGGAGGCCTTGGCTGCTGCCTGGAATAGGGAGGCAGCCGGGGCCTTGGACAGGATCGCGCCTGTGCGACCTCTCTTGCCACATCGGCCCCGACACTCCCCGTGGTTTACAGAGGAGTTGAGGATGCTGAAGAGGGTCAAGAGACGTCTAGAGCACTGCTGGAGGAAAACAAAGACCGAATCCGACCAAACACAGGTTAGACCCACTGTTAAGGCCTACATTGTGGCAATAAGGGTGGCGAAGTGTCAATACTTCTCCGCCTTTATTGTGTCTGCAGAATGCCGCCCGGCGGCCCTGTTTAGGATCACTAGGTCCCTCCTTGGCAAGGGGGATGTGGGGGTTCATTTGCAGGGCCGCGCAGAGGAATTTTCGGAGCATCTGCAGGACAAAGTCACTCGGATTCGTTCCAAGTTAGACTCTGAGCGTGGGGAGATACCGGGGTTCTTACCCAGTTATCTGGAAACAGTTTGATCCTGTTGATCCTGAGGAAGTGGACAGGATCCTGGGGACTGTGAAGGCCAC